TTTCAAATTCAGTGAAAGAAATCTTATTAGAATTGCAACTTTGTAGATCATTTCGTGCAAAATTGATATATTTACATTGTTTTCCTACTTATGGACATGACATGTCTCTCCACTTATTTAGTTTTTATTTAATATATTTCACTGATGTTTTATATTTTTTCCCCTAAAAGTAACATACCTAATTAATCTTAGATCAATTCCCAAGTATTGTACGATACAGTCCCAATTATAAATAGTGTCTTTACAAAAATATGTTGTCTATTGATGACCCCTTCATTTCTTGTCCCTCTCTCACTTTTCCCAGCTATTGTCACATGTTTATTCTCATGGATGAAGTTTAATTTTAAAAAATCAGAAAGGCTTTGATTGAAAGTGAGCTTAATACATTTTGCATGGAAGTGATATTTCCACAATGGTGACAAAAACAATATACGAAAATTGAAGTTTAAGTACAGACTACTAGATATAGTAGATAAGACACTCTTAGAGTAAACCACCAAATGCAGATGTTCAAAAGGTATATCCAAGAACTAGTTTCATGATTGTTGCATGCTTTATCCATCTCAAGACCATATAATGTAGATGACGTTTTTTTTCTTTTTTTTTGAGACAGGAGTGCTATTAATGGATTGAGATTTTCCTTGGAGGAGTGGTGGGAATTATGCTAAGGTGCAAAATTCATAATATTCCCAAATAAGAAAAAAACCTGTATGTCCATCAACAGTAGAATAGATAAATAAATTGTGGTACATTCACACAATGGAATAATATGCAGCAGGAAAAGCACAAACTTCTGGTGCACATAACAACATGGATGACTCTCATGACATACTACTGAGTGAAAAGAGTCAGATACCAAAGAATACATACTGTCTGCAATCTACTCATATGAAGCTGAAATGCAGATAAAACTAATTTACAGTGCTAGGAGTCATAATAATAGTTATCTTTGAGGAGGTAATAACTGAGAGATGGCATGAGGGAACCTTCTGGGATCCTGAATTATTCTTTATCTTGTTTGAAGTGGTGGTTAAATACACACACACACACACACACACACACACACACACACGTATATAGACATACATAAAACCAAGGGAGAAGATACATCTTAGGAAGAAAGCCTTAAATTTTGTCTTCTAGGAGTTTAATAAGCCAAAAAATTCTGGGAATCATTTTTTTTCTTAGATTTTTCAGCAGAAAATCTTTTTCTTAGATTGTCTTAGAAAACGTTTTTCTTAGATTTTCAGCAGAAATACAGAAATGCCAAGAGTATGGCTGGCAGCTTGGCCATTATTTTGCCTTACTTAGACTTTAGTCTTAGAACCTACATTTTCAAAATTATGACATACTGCAAAAAGATGAAGGAAACTATTAGACTTTTTAAGAAGACAGCAGAGACCGGTAGTTTCTGAAATAAGTTTATTCCCTCATTCATTTACTATTTCCCCAACTTCATTAGTGATAATAATGTTTAGATATTTGTACTCAATTCCATTCATCAGCTCATTTACTATCTTTTAAAATGTATCTGAATCTGAAATTTTCTTGATTTATTAAATATCTGTGTTCCTCCTTGTATTAGTTATCTGTGGCTGTTGTAACAAATTACAAACCTGATAGTTTAAAACAACTTAAATTTATTGCTTCACAGATTTGGAGGTCAGATGTCCTAAATCAGCATCACTGGACTGAAATAGATATGCCAGCAGGGCCCTGCTCCCACCAGACACTCCAGGGGAGAAGTTGTTTTTTTTTTGTCTCTTCCAGCTGCAGGTGGCTGACAGTTTTCCTTGGCTTGTAGCTGCGCTACTCCAGTTCTGTCTTTATGGTTATCCTGCCTTATCCTTTTCTGTCTGGGAATAACCTCCCTCACTTCTCTCTTATATGAATATTTGTGCTTGCACTGATGGTCCACCCAGATAATCCGGGATAATCTCCCCCTCTCAAGATGCTTTCACATCTGAAAGATCTCTTTCCAAATACAGTAATATTTACAGTTTTCAAGAATTAGGACCTGGTATCTTTGCAGAGCTATTTTTCAGCCTACTATACCCCCTCTAACAGACTGTAAATTCCATGGGAGCAGGACCCTGTATGTTTTGTTCATTTTTGTGTCCTCAGTACTTAGAAGAGCTGTGAACAAGAATGGCACACAGTAGACATTCACTGGATATCTGTCAAATTAATCATTAAGTATTAATAAATCATCCTGAACATCTTCCAGAAAAATGGGAAGGTTTTTACTTCAGAAGACATACCTAATATCATTAGCTGGCATTTATAGTGATAAACGTTGGTTCATCATCAGAGATAATATTCTAATAACCAAGCCTATGTATCCATAGTCTGGGTTACTTCATGAAGAAATAAACACATTGAATGTGAATGTATTCAAATACAGTTTGGTGGTTATCTGATGGGGTGATGTAAAATATATTTTGCAGAATTTCTATAATTATTTTCTAAACCTTTTGTTTATTAGTTTTAAGACCACCGCAAACCATTCTTCTGGTTTTTGACCCTTTTATAGGCCCTGTACCCAAGAATCCACAGACAGTTTTCTTTCAGGTGGAATAGTTTCATGTCTCTTTAGAACATCAGAGTATGATACTGGATGTTCTCAATGCTAAAATGATTTTTCACACAGAGGAAGATTTTTTTCTTTTTAATTTGCAAAAATGGCTCTAAGTTTCAAATTCTAATTTTAAGCCTGGAAACTTGCCATATATGTGTAAAATATGGCCACTAAAATAATGCAATGACTTATGCTTTATACAGCAACACCTTTCTAGTGATGTACCCATATCCAAATGAATATTGTCTCTTCATCAAAGCAGTCATCTTGGAAATTGATGATTGGAAAATAGGATGCTTTCTTCTAAATTTTCATTCATATAAAACCACACGTGAAAATCAGTCTTATCACTTTAGCTAAATTTAGTTTTTGGTCAAAGTAGTTGTGCTAGTTACAATGTTTTTGTTTGCAAGTCTTTTTCTCCTATAAACAAGAAGCCTAGAACATAGGCTGAGGAAACTGTAGCAGTTCTAAACATCCTGTTCTTACCAAATAATGACAGCAAAGGAAGGGAGGAAGAAGGTTTTCCTGATTCTTTCTTTCTTTTTTTCTTTTAAATGAAGGGAGAGGTGGTTTCCCAAATGTCCTCCAAAGGACACTGTCTTCTGTCTCATTGACCAGTGGGTCACATAGCCATCTCCATCAGGGAAGAGCAGAAAAGCACATTTCTGGCATTTTAACTGCCGATGGACAAGAGGTAATTAACTCTGTCCTCACTAAAAGCAGATTCCCCAAACTAACCATGACATACTCTCTTTTTAATAATCTCATTAACAATTTTAGAAGTTAGAAACTTGGTTGTGGTAGTGGGGGAGTGGGGAAATAACTGGGTACTAACAGGGTACCCATTATTGTGGACCAACCCTATCTGCAGGTGAGGAAACAGGGTTTTCAGAAGAAATTGTGCAAGGCAACTTGGTTAAAATGTAGTGATGCTTCCATCATGGGCCATCATCTGATGATGATGATGGGGGTGATAATTACACTGATCGATATTGAGTGCTTACTACAACACCAAGCTTTGTGTTCTCTGTGCTACCTACTGATTGTGTTACTTAATTCTCAACCCTGTGAAGGAGGTAGTCTGTTTTATACATTAAAAAAACTGTAGCGCAAGGACTCATATCTGATAAGTGCAGGTCTGTGATTAGAAAATGCTGCCTCCAGGGCGGGGCATCTCTTTACACTGTCCTGTTTCTCATTTGAATTCCCATATTCTCTCTAGGACTACTGTCTCTGAGCTAAGCTTTTTGTATTCTCAGCTTCTTAATCTGTAAAATGGGGATGGTCCCACCTACTTATAAAATTTCTATGAGGAGTAAAGGTGGTAGTCCATGTAAAGTCCATGTTAGTAATGAAACAAACATAGTAGGTCAGCATTATTGCTGAATTTACCTCATATTGTAATTTTCAGATATGCAAATTATCTATGCTTCCGGACTGAGATCATCCAGGGCAGCCTTCTCAAATTTTTTTGGACCCAGGACCCCTCTATTCTCAAGAATCACTGTGGACTCCAAAGAGCTCATGTTCATGTGGGTCATACCTACCATTACTACATTGAAATAAAAATCGAGAAATGTTTAAAAACAGAATAACGGGCACAGGCTTCCTCGGCAGCTAGGGTGTTGACGTAATACACAACCTGCATCCTCTGGAAAATTGTATCCTGGTGAGAGGATGGACGCGAAACAGGCAGATGCGGGTCGGTATCACGATGTAAATGGTTTTTTCTTCCTCGGGACCGCCGGGGTCCCTGGACCACACTTTGAGAACTGCTGCGCTGCGGTGCAGATCGCTTGCCCGGAGGCGACGCTCAGTCCAGTTTGAGGGGTGAACCCTCGGGCGCTGCGGCCGTCCGGGGGAGGAAACCCGGAGTCGGCCCAAAATAAGCCACGCCAAGCGCTCCATCGCACTCGCGGCCGCCGCTGCGGCTTCCTGGCAGCCTCACCCTTCGCGGCCGTCCCCTCCTCCGCCCTCCGTCCCTCCTGCAGGCGCGTGCTTTTTTCGCGCGCGACCCCCTCGGGCCACCCAGGTCCCGGGGCCACTCCCCCGCGCGCTCCGCCGGGCCGCGGGAGTCGCGGGGGCCCGAGACAGGCCCGCCCCGCCGCCTCGCAACCGCCTCCGGGCTGCCATGGCAACCACGGCCGGCAGCCCGGGCGTCCCTGCTCCGCCCCCTCGGGCTAGACCATTCGCTTCAGGGACCTGTCCCAGGGGGAGGGAGGCAAGTGGATTCGCTAGAACCCCTGAAAGACAACCGACTCCATTTTTTACTACTTCTTTTAACGGCGCACATCCGTACTTCTACCAGCCAGCCGCCTTCGCGAGGCCAGCTCAGCGGCTCGCCTCTCCCGCCCGGAGGCCTCCCCCCAGCCTAGGCTCGCAAGTGGTTCCGCTCGCCTGTCGTGACGCCCGAGGGGCGGGGCCGCACGCGGCGGGGAGGGGAGGGGCAAGATGGCGCCCGGCGAGTGAGGCTCCCCCATCCCCGCAGCCGCCCTTGAGCCACCGGGGCGGGGGGTCCTGCCCTCGCCGGCTCCCTTCCTCCTCTCCCCCGCCCCGGAGACCTCCTCCTTCCCTTGCTCCCTCCACCTCGGGGGGCGGGCCCGGTTCCCGGGACACCATGTCGGACTCTGAGGAGGAGAGCCAG